AATGAATAGATTCAATGAGGGGAGAAAAGTGAACATTTCCTCCTGCTACATGTCAAGCACCATGCAAGACATCTCATACGTCTTCGTTTAATTCTCAGAGCAAGTTTCAGGTAGTAATTGTTTATGCAACAAATATTACCTGAGCTTCTATTACATGCAAGTTTTGTTTTTTTTTTTTGTTTTTTTTTTTTACATGCAAGTTTTGATAACTGGCCAAAGAACGAAAAAAACAAAATCTCATTTCTCCTGAAATTCACCGTAGAGATTTTTTTCTCATGTAATTTTTAAAAATTGACATTTAATTCACATACCAAAAATTCACCTGTTTAAAATGCATAGTTCAATGGTTTTTAGAATATTCACAAAGTCATGCAACTGTCACCACCAGACAAGATATTTTTCACTGTATGAATGAAATGCTGTGTGTTTCCTGTGGTCAAGTCAGAGGAGGAGGCAATTTACTAGGGGAACAAAGTCCAGGGAAAGCAGCAGTATATGCAAAGAAGTAGAGCTCTGAGACAGCCTAGTATTTGGAAAAAATATGAAAAACACAGAAGAGCTAGAGTTTATGTTGAGGTGGTAGGTTAGCCTATTTTACAAATAAGGAATTTGAAGCTCAGAGAGGTGAATTAAGTCAACTAAGGTCAGACAATTTTTTTCTGCTAACTCAAGGTGTCTAACGGTTACCCTACCATCAATTCATCCCCAATGAACAAGCAGGCGCTGACACAACCAAATACTGAATTATTAGCTCAAAATACAAGTTTTCCCCAGCCTTCCAGCAAATAGGCTTCATTTTCCCTCCCAACTCCTTGTATCACCTACCACCACTGGCCATACAGATCACCATCATTAGCTGAGCAAAACATTTCCACCATGGCTTTATAGATTCAAAAGGTTAAGGCAACCACAGTGATACCATCAGAAGGTGCTTTGTCCATGGATAAAATATTTTGGTCATGAAAGTCCAAGGGGCACCTAGCTGATAGAGCATACAACTCTTGATCTTGGAGTTGTAAGTTTGAGCCCCATGTTGGGTGTAGACATTACTTTAAAAAAAGGAGAGAGAGAGAGAGAGAGAGAGAGAGAGAGAGAGAGACTCCAAATTGAAGCCGTAACACTTCATGGGCTCTGTTTAGCTAAAATACGTTTGCCAGTCATGTTTCAAGCTCTGTTCAACCAGGAAGAAATTCTTGCTCAGTTTTCCTACCTGCAAAGTGACATTAAGAAATCTTGTCCTAGCTACCCTACTGCGATCTTGCCCAAAGGAATCACTGAGGATCTGTACTGCCTTCAATGTTGTTGAGGAAAAGATTAATATGCCTAAAAGTAATATGCCTAATATAAAAAGATCTCCAACTTTCTGACCTTAGTTAAACATTCATATAATCCTGGCATATTAGGCTTAAATTCAGTCCAGATACGTTCGCATTTCAACTCTTTGGGAGGGGATGAGCTAGGGGAACTCAGGAGAAAACAGGCAGAAAATAAAGTTTTGTCAGGCAGGGGCAATGACCTCTGGATTTCTGGTTCTACATTTGGAGGCTGTCTCCTCCTCTCTCATGTGAAAGAGCGACTCTACATTCTAGGATAAGAAACTGTGGGTGCTACAAATTTGAGGTATGGTGGAAACATGTCCTCCACCACACTATTTAAACCCTTCTGCAGCACCCCAGTTTACAAACCGCTGGCAGGACAGGAGACACAACTGCAGCAAAGGGCAGTTATTTCTCAGGGAAAAAACTGAAAGTGACCAGATGAGGCACAGCAAAAGAGTTCACCAGAAGCTACCTTGGCCAAGAATCTTTAGATGCTTGCTGCCACTAGAGAATCCATGCTAAAATGTTTACGATTTTGCAGTAGGACCAAGGAATTGATATGCCAAAACACTACACAACAAAAAACAGCTTTACTTAACCTTCCAGAGAAGAATGAGATCAAGTACCCCTGCCACTCTTGTTTTTCTTTAAAGTGTGTAAATCTGAATTATCGGAAATCAAATAAGCAAATGCTGTCCCATAATACAAAGGTGACTATACGATTAGGGATATTCATGTAAACAATCTGAAGATCATTACTTCCTCATCTATTGAGGTTTACGTAAATACACACTACTTTTCATTTGTGATTCTCCAATACATTTTGGTAGGGATTAGGGATATTCATGTAAACAATCTGAAGATCATTACTTCCTCATCTATCGAGGTTTACGTAAATACACACTACTTTTCATTTGTGATTCTCCAATACATTTTGGTAGGGAAGCATCCAAACCTAGTTTATCTATTAGTTTTGGGGAATAATGGCAAAGTCCATTCCTAACTCCAGGAGCAGTACAATCCAATCCTTTTCTAAGGGAGAGGAAATATGTGAATATTTGAGACCAACACCAGAACTCAAATAATTGCAATATCTGGGTATACTTTATTTCTCCTCTGGACAACTAATTATTTAATGAGACCTCCTTCTCCAATAGACAGTTTTATAAAGCTCATTAGTTCCTAAGAAAAGCATTATGTGTGCGACCACTGTGTTTCAACACACTACCCAGTTCTTCAGAGACTTCACAACAGTTCTGCAAGGGTTGGTTGCTTTATCCTTTTCTTTCTTTTTTTTTTAAAGATTATTATTTTTTCAAGGTTATTTATTTATTCATAGAGACACACACACACACACACACACACACACACAGAGGGGGGGGGGGCAGAGACACAGGCAGAGGGAGAAGCAGGCTCCATGCAGGGAGCCCGACGTGGGACTCGATCCTGGGTCTCCAGGATCACGTCCTGGGCTGAAGGCGGCGCTAAATCACTGAGCCACCCGGGCTGCCCTCTTTCTTTCTTTTACTTATTTATATATGTATGTTTAAAAGATTTTATTTATTTATTTATGAGAGAGGCAGAGAGAGAAGCAGGCTCCATGCAGGAAGCCTGATGTGGGACTCGATCCAGGGACTCCAGGATCACGCCCTGAGCCAAAGGTAGATGCTCAACCTCTGAGCCAGCCAGGTGTCCCTCTTTTTTTTTTTTTTTTTTAAACTGAAGAAACTTAGGCTCACAGATGCTGGAACATTCTAAGCCACACAGCTAGGGACGGACAGAAAGGAGGAAGGTCTGAGTCCTAAGCGTATAGGCCTTCCACCTGCCAGCGCATCCCAAACAAGAATCACCTGAGAGCACTTAAGGAAGATACAAAATGCAGGCTCGCAGGGACCTGGAAACGTGCATTTTTTAAAACAAGCCGTGCTCCCTTCACCGTCTTGGTCAACAGGAACGCTTCTTAGCAAAAGAGAACTTCACGACCCAGCCGGGAGATCTGAACCTGTTCCATCTTCACCAAGGGACGACCCCAGCGTCCTCAAGAACTTACTCCTCTGGTCAAACCATCACTCCCACTAAGGTCCCCAGAAGTTCAGATCTTGCAATCTTCTTCTGTCCCTTCTTCAACCAACGAATCCTGCCATTCTTTTCCTTCCCTGTATAATAATTCATTTCCTGGCTGGGACCGGGCTCTAACCACCAGACTTCCAGCCGGGCCCCGGAACTCCCAACAGCCTCCAGCCCTTCTGGCTCCTTCCCTAGCCCCTCGGCTTGGGGCTGCTATCATCCCAACCCTGCCTCTTCCGTCGGTCACGTTGTTTCCTCCGCCTGGAAGGACCTCTTTCCTCTCCGGGCCCTCCCCAGAGCTCGGGGGGGGGGGGGGGAACTCCTGCTCCAGCGCGAGCGCCTCCGCTTGCAGCCGCCCCCGCCGCCCACCACCGGGCTCCGGGACCCAGCCCGGCCTCGCAGCCCAGAAGCGAGCGCGGTCCTCCGGGCCGCGGCCCCGGCCCCGGCCCCCGCCCCGCGCCGCCCCCGCCCCGCCCCCGCCCCGCTGGCCTCCCCACCCGCCACCTGGCCCCGCGGCGGCCGCTCGGGAAGCCCTCGGCACTTCCCAGAATAGGGAGCAGCTGCCAACGCCAGGCTGCCGCCGGCGCGGGGTTCCGGGCGCACGGGGCGCGGGCGGAGCGGACGGGACTCCGCTCCGGCCTTCCGTCTCCCGCGACGGGCCGGGAAACTGAGGCCCGGGCTGCGCCGTCCGCGAGCCTCGACCGCACGCGCCGCGGGGTCGCCCCGGGGAGCCAGCCGGGCGGGGAGCGGGGCTCCGGGCGAGCGCTGCGCCCGGGACCGCGCAGGGCGCCGGCCGCGGCCAACTCGCCGCCGAAGTTGCCTCCCAGCCGCCCTCGCCTCTCACCTCCGAGACACACCTTCCCCGGCCGCGGCGGCCGCGCTCTCACATCCGGTCCACCTTGCGCACACCCCTCTCCGCGCTCTCCCACGGCCCCGCGCCCCCTCGCGCACTCCCACCCGCGCCCGGGGCGCGCCTTCCCCGCCCCGCCGCACGCCCGGCCTCCGCGCCGCGCCCGCCGGGGCTTCGGGCTTCGGGCTCCGGGCTTCGGGCTCCGGGCGCCCCGGCCCCGGGCCGCGACCCGCTTCCGCCCGCCCGGCGGGAGGCGGCAGCCCGGGGAGCCGCGCGGGGGGCTCGGGGCTCGGGGCTCGGGGCTCGGCGGCGCGGGGCGGGGAGGGGGCGCTCGCTCGCTCGCTCACTCTCGGCGGCGCACACGCCCGTACAAACTCTCTCTCTCTCTCTCTCTCTCACACACACACACACACACACACACACACACGCGGGGTGCGCTGCCGCCGCCCGCCGCTGCTCCTCCTCCCGCCACCGCCTTGAGAGCGAGCGAGAGGGAGGCAGAGAGAGCGCTTTGTCCGCGCGCCGCCGCCCGGCCCGGGACTCTGCCCCGAGGAGGCAGCCGCGCCGAGTCCCCGCCTCCGCCTCTGCCCCCGGGCGGGCCGGGCCGGCCGCGGTGGGGGGAGCCAGGCTGAGGGTGAGGGTGGGGGTGGGTGGCGGGCGGGCGGGCGGAGGGCGGGGAGGGGGGGCGGAGGAGGAGGAGGAGGAGGAGGAGGAGGAGGAGGAGGAGGAGGAGGAGGAGGAGAGACGAGGGCAGCGGAGGAGGCGAGGAGCGCCGGGTACCGGGCCGGGGGAGCCGCGGGCTCTCGGGGAAGAGACGGATGATGAACAAGCTTTACATCGGGAACCTGAGCCCCGCCGTCACCGCCGACGACCTCCGGCAGCTCTTCGGGGACAGGAAGCTGCCCCTGGCGGGACAGGTCCTGCTCAAGTCCGGCTACGCCTTCGTGGACTACCCCGACCAGAACTGGGCCATCCGCGCCATCGAGACCCTCTCGGGTGAGCAGTCGCCGCCGCCCCCTCCCCCCGCCTCGCCCAGCTCGGGCCGGGACGGCGCCCGGAGGGAGGCCGAGCCTGCGGGCGGCGCCCGGCGGGGGCTCCCGCGCCCGCGCCCGCACGCTCACTTCCCCGCACCAGACCCTCAACTCTCGGCGCCGGCCCGCTCCCCTCCCCCCGCCGCTCCGGACCCCCCCGCCCCGCGCGCTCCCGGCCGCAGCCCCGGGGCGACCCCCGTGCCGCTGCGAGGGTGCCCGGGGCTCGCCCGCGCTCTGGGGGCGCCCCCCGCCCGCAGGCTGCCCGCGCCGCTCTCCGGAGTTTCCCCACCCCCATCCCCGGAGAGCCCCCCGGGCCCGCCGTCCCCTGACCTTCCGCCCCCCCTTTGTCAGGGACCCCCCCGCCCTGCACAGCCCGCGTGCCCGGGCGGGACCTCTCGCCCCCCGGCGCCCCCGGAGCCCCCGGAGCCGCGCGCCCCTCGCTGGCCCCCTCCCCACCTCGCCCCGCGGCCCCCCACCTTCGGAGCCCCCTCGGCGCCGCCCTGATGGTCCCCTCCGAGGCCTCGGGGTCCCCCCCGCCCCCCAGCCCCGGCCCCCGCACGACGGCGCCCCGCTCTCGGTCCCTCTCCCGAACCTCCGTCCCCTCTCGCTCGTCTCCCAAGCGCTCCTATTTTTCTCTGAATTTTTTGTCCGATTTTATTGAGAAGAACTCGGGGCTGGGGGCTTCCCGCCGCCTGCCCCCCCGCCTCCCGCTCGGCCAGAAGCACCTTTCTACGAGGTGCCCTGTCTCAACTCGGCGGGGGCCCCGGGCTGAGAACCGGGAAAGAGGCGACCGGGGGGCCCGCGAGAGCGCCGGAGCCCAGACGGGAGACGGAGCGCGACACACACACACTGGCGCGCGCGCGCACTCCCCAACTCTCCCTCTCGCACACGCACCGCTCGGAGCCGCGCTCGCCGCCCGCCCGCCCGCCCGCCCGCCGGAGCCCGCGCCCCCCGAGCCCGGCCGGCCCGAGCCCCCGGCCCACCGGCGCGCGGGGGGGGGGGCGGGGCGGGGCGGGGCGGCCGCCGGGCCAAGGTGACACCCCGGAGCCGGCCGGGACCGGGCGCCCGCGGCGGCGGCCCCCGGGGGGGAGGCGGGGGTGGGGGCGGGGCGGGGGGCTCCGGTGCGCCTCGTCGGGGCCACGGGGCGGCGAGGGCGGGGCGGGGGGCGCAGCGGAGCCTCCGGGGCCCGGGTCAGCGGCTTGGAGAGGTGGGGGCCGGGCGAGCAGCGGGGCCGCGCCAGCCCTGCAGCTTGAGTTTCAAATGAGCTCATCCTTTCAAATTGGCGCCGCTCTTTATTAAATTTGTTTTTCCGGTAATGCCACCCACAGCTATACCTGGGGTCGGATCCGGGCTCGCGCCCTTCCCACCTCGTCCAAAGAGTCGGGGCGCCCACCTTGCTTCCCACCGGGAGCCAAGTTTGCCCAGCTCGAGGCGGGGAGGAGACCCCTGGAGGGCGCCCGAAGGCGGAGCCCGGGCGTGCAGCTCGGTGCGTGCCCCTCCTAGACCCCCGCCGCTTTGATCGAAGGAAGGTTCTGAGTGCTTTAATTTCTGTTTTAAAGGTAAAGTGGAATTGCATGGGAAAATCATGGAAGTTGATTACTCAGTCTCTAAAAAGCTCAGGTAAATATATTTTGCTTAGTTATTTCGTGATAGGGCTTACGTGTAAATACAGAAATACGCTCCGTTGTTGTTTTTTTTTTTTTTTTTTAACGTGCTTTTGTGGTTTTAAAAAGGGAGGCTTTTGTTTGTTTTGTTAGTGGAGATAACATAGTCTAGAAAGTTACATTTTTTTTTTTTTACTTTCATTATATAAGGTGTTTACTGTACTTTGGAAAATATCTGGTGCCTTATTGGGGGTGAGGGGTGGCGAACCCTAGCCGTGTGAAATTCGCTGGGACCGTTAAACTTGTTTATCAAAACTTGCCTCCCACCCCCCACCCCCCCCACTCCCAGCCCTACCCCCCCCCCAGCACAGTGGCAACAAATGCTTGTCAAGACTTCCTGTGAGATGTTAAGAGTAAATATTTACTTTGTCAGCTAAATTGCTTAACTAAACCTCGCGATTAATTAGTTTTCTTTTTTAGATAGCTTAGCGTTGAATAATAAAATAATTCAGTAAGGGGTCAGTATTTTGCATAGCACTCTAAAGAAGTAGGTTGTTTGCATTGGGTGGTAGTTAAAAAGCCAGACTTTTTGAGTCACTGAGACTACTACTGACTGTTGCTTCTGAGCGTTTTGTTGTTGTTGCTTTTAAGATATGTCTGAGGCTAACCAAGTATCTTTGTGAAATCTATAGTTATATTTAAGTGCACTGTTGTTAATGAAGGAGTAAAGAGTTTGGTGGAAGTTGGATTTCTCCACAGTGATTTGCCTACATGAGAACTATCTCCCTATGAGGAGAGAATGAGGGAGAACATCTTTGTTTAAAGTGTATTGTGGACTTTAAATTGGGGCCCTTTATTACTCATTCTAGGTTTTTTTTTTTTTTCCTCTCTTGTGTCGTAACTTAGTTTATATCCCATTCACATACATTTCTTCACCATTAGTCATTAAGTAGCTGGATTGAAAACTAAGTGAAGTCTTTGATTTGCCACCTTTACAATTTATGATACTCAGGAGTGTGACCACTTACTTGATTTGTGCCAGGATTGAGTAGATTTTAAAACAAACTGTACTAATTTTGTAAATACTTAGATATTTTATTAAAGAGATTTTTGAAAATTGTGGGCACATTTTCAGATACTTTTATTTTAACTAAGCAACAGGATATCTTTTGTTTGCAAATGATTCTGTGGCATATCACAAAGCGAACGCCTTTTAAAAAAAAAGGCAAAAGTTATGATTTGCAGTTTCATGTGTAATAATAGTAAGCTAGTTCTTCTCTCTAGGAACAGATACAGTGTGTAACTGGTTTTCCAGTATTTTAATTTGTGTACTTTTCTATAATTTTTTTTTTTTTTTTTTTTGCCTGAGAAATCCAAGTTGAAGCTTTCTGATATATTAGGTACTTAGTGTAAGTTTAAATTGCTCTTCATGCAACACTTGGAAGTTTGATGAATATATTGAACAAGGTTTGAAAGAACCGCCTAAAACATTTGATGGGCTGTTATCGTATAAGTGCCTAATTCTGTTGGCTGCATAGCTGTTTTGAGTCCTTTTTTGGGTTATAATTAATAAAGATCACCCGAGTTTTAACTTTAGTGTGTCATTTCATGTTGCAAAGGACAGTATTTCATGTTGCAATGTAAGGGAAATACTGGTTTCTCTAAAGTTATTAACATCTCCTAAGACTTCTCACAAGTAAACTTCCAAATATTTTTCTTTCAAAATGAAGAGGTATTTGCTGTTAGCCAGAGTGTTATTTAAATAATTTTGTTGTGTTTATTTTAGAGTTCAGAATTAAAAGCATGCCCCAAATTTTTAATATCAATTAAATAAAGAGCAAACTAGGACCTCTACAGCCCTATTAGTACATAATTTCTTTGAACATGTGGGCGATATGAAATACCTAGGAGGTAGATTAAAATGCGCTGTGTGTGATTCACTACCCTGAAGACGTCTGACATACCAAATGTATGCATAAGCTGCTGCTGTAGAGGGTTGCATCATTTCTGATTGGATGGTTTTACTCTTTTTTTCCCCTTTCCTTTATTGGTTGAAAATGCAGGAATTAGTTACTTGTACTGCAGGCTAAGGGAGAGATGGCTAATGCCTGGCGATGTGTACTGAGCTCAGACCCCTGGGATGAAGCAGCTGGATGTTCTCATGTACAGGGCACTACCACGGTGCTGGCTTTCAAAAGCAGGGTACTGTGACATTTGAAACCAAAGCTTTTATGTTATATGGTGACTATTTTTGGTGTTCCTTTGTTGCATTTCCATGAAATTTAACAAGTTAGAAGTAAATTTGTCAGCGTTAAGTCAGTTCTATATGTGGTTTTTGTGTTAGTTGAAGTGAAAATGTGAAGAAAACAATTCATCCTCATTGCTTGCTTACTTAAAAATCATTCAACAATTGAGTACTCATTTTCTTTATATTGTTCTGATTTCTTTCTGTTTTCAAGAATGAGTTTTAGTATCTGCATTCCAAATAGATTTTTTTTTAAGCTAATGATACTTTGGGAGGAGATGTTTTTATCTTAAGTCATGAAATTATTGGCATGCCATTTGCTTACCAATGGATCTTTTGTTAAATACAATTCTAGCATCATTTTCATATGTGCTATTATAGTAGACAGACTAGGTAACCATTATTTTCTCAGGGTCATCAGTAGAAAACTCTTTTTTCCTTTTTGCCACATGTGTTTCATTCTTATTAGATGCAAATTATTGTAATGCAAACCATAGACAAACCATCTATTTTTTTAAATTTTATTTTTTTTTAATTTTTTAATTTTTTAATTTTTTTTTTTTTTTTACTTTCTAAGTTGGTTTCAGGCTCTGTTGAATAAAAACCTTTGGATCTTTTTTCTCTATTCATATTTCTTGGTAGTATATATAAATCAAAGATTGCTTCAAGAGGAAGAAAACTGTAGTGACTTTAAAATTCTGTTAAAAGTTGTAGAAACTTCCTTGACAGAAATTTCATTTTTGATGTTGAAGAGAGTTTGGTTTCAATATATATACATATATCTGCATATGTATCTATACACACATGCATGCACGCATACACATCACATAAATTGTTTTGAGCCAAGACATACGCTAACCTGAATGTGCTTTGTAACTAAAGTTGAATGATTCTGTGAGAAACAAAACTTTGAAAAATGCAATTTCTGCCCACTGCTAGGAAGTAACCAAGTGGTGCTAGACGTGCTTTCACTGAGATGGTGTGAATACTATGAGGTAGTGTAGGAAAAAGCTATGAATTTGTCTTTCATGAGTTAAAAATCAGTAATTGTGTTCTCTCCAATGCAAATGAATTCAGTCTCCTATAGGAATGTTAAAGAAAACAGTATCTCAATTGTATTTTGCTTGTATGTACTACATTGTGTATAGTTGAATTAAATACCAAAAAGAAAAAAAAAAAATCACCCAACCTCAAGCTCTCCCCGCAACAAAGGCTTTTGCTGCATCAATTTTTAATTTTGAAGCAACAGAGAGGACTTTTTTTTAGGTTAAAATCATATGGTAGCCTTCTAATTAAAGAATTTGTTGAATTAAAATTTAATGCTTGAATTTAATTATATAGAGTCCATGTGTGGCTGGCTATAACATGTATTAATGTAAAATACATGTCAAACTGAGGTAGTTTATGATTTGGCTTTGGGTTGGACGTTTAGTTTCCCATTTTTAAAAAAGCTAGTAATTTTTTCATATGGTTCTAGGCAATGTCATAAAGAATTACACATTTTCATGACCCTTAAGAGATAAGTATTAGAATTGAAATAGAAGCAATAAAGAAAAGAATTAATTGATAATTCAAGTGATAATGTAGATTTAAAGTTCTAGCCTACAAATATTAAATGACTGCTCATTTGATGTTGATTTTGTGTTATTCAGCTAAATATTAAAAACCATTGAAAGCTACAAATCAAAATACTTTTTATGTAGTACTTGATTTTCCAGTTTGTCAAATTCATCTCAGTTTTATATTCGTATTATAGCAATTCATAAAAGTATTAAATGGCTACATCTAAACATTAATTCTAAAAGGAGATTTGGTGATGTTTGATACATTTGTCAAATGCTGTTTTTTTAAAATAGTGTTTCCTTGTAATTATGGCCAGTAAGAGATGGTCTCAGAGTTTTGTTTTTTATTATTTTAGCCTGAGATTGTATAAAGATGAGAGATTAGTATTTGTACAATACCTTTTTATACATGGTGGTATAATGTATTTTCTTTAGGAAGAATTTTTTTTTTAAAGGACATTAGATGATTTAGAACTAATTGCATATCAAAATTAACATCCTAACTATTTTGAGTAAATGTTTTTGTTTTATGGAGGTTGCTCCAGTTTTTCAGCTGGGGGAATGTAAATGGTGTTGAAATGTGCATAAAAGCATAGTAACTTGGGCACATTTATTAAAAATCAAAACTATGAAAATCAGATTTCTACAGAAACTTTTTACACATATTTGATACTTCTCAACTCTCTAAATACTTGTTGTCTATTGCTGAATCACTCTTTCAAGTCTTCTAATGAAATTCTCGAAAGTAGATGAGCAATTGGTCAGAGTTGTGAGAGAATATTATTTGAGCTAAGTGTGTCATCTCTGTGATTCAGTGGGGTGTGTGTGCACATGGGTGTCTGTGTGCATGTGTGCTTTGTGGGGGGACAGTAGTTTCAGACAGATGGTATCAAGAGGGAAGAGGAGGAAATCTTTAATTGAGCAACATTTGCTCTGGATTTAGGCAAGGCAAATGAAAATTGCTGGGTGTTTGAACCTTGTAACAAAGGGAATTGGTATTTGTTTTGAGTGATGCATAATTCTTGTAGGTGGTTAACCTTATGGAAGCCAGGGCTTGGGCACCTGTAGTGACTTCTGCAGTGAGGGAGCTGCTGCTGTAAGGGCTATCCAATGCATAGTCTACCCTTCTTTTTGTTTAGATATCCCCTCTCACTAATAGAGTTAGCTCAGTGATTCTGTGAAGGCTCTGATGATTCATAAGCCATTTTT